ACCCCGAGACGTGCCGATTCCTGCCGTCACTCCGATTGTGGGCACCCAATTTGTCTAGTTTTTTCACCTTTCTCATGCATCCAGACCATCCACAACAGTTGGATTTGCCAACGCTTAGCTTTTCTGCAATCCGCCGAAATGTTGGGATGGGTCAGCCTCCAAAATCCCCTAAAACCTCGTCAGATATTGCTTTTAGGGTCGACCGCTATGAGATTCACCTTCAACGCTGAAATCTCCAGAACGAAATTTGTTGAGCCATTGCCGCACAGTGCTTTCTCTAGCACTATTGGGCCCCCACACCTGGTTAATTTGTTGAGCTGTTTCATTGCGGATTGCCCCAATTTATAGTCGAAGAAAAAAATCGCCCGAAGTGCTATACATTTGAAAAAATCTTGAAAAAAGGGGTTTATCAAGCAATGGTGAAACGGCAATTATACCATCAGATAGCGCAAGAAATTCTCTACAGAATGTGCTACTGAAAAGCAAAGCGAATAAGTTTTTAATCAGCAGTAAAGTTACAAAAAATAGGTCACAAAACGCTGAGAAACTTTCCGGACAACCTAATATAATGACGACTTTCAAAATAACTCGATTTTGCTTAATCTCGAGTTTTTTTTTGCCGCGCTTTGTATCGAAGGGTCGAGGGTGCAACTGTTTGATGCATAGGTGTTACCTGTGCATCAAACAGTTGCAACTGCAACAACCGCTGCGCACCGTCACGGAAGTTCAGCTTTCTTTCTGGCAACTTTCGGGTGAAATGGTTCGCGCAGGCACGAACACCACGACAAACTGGCAGGAATAGAGGTCTCAGAGCACCGCCAAGTGGAGAGGTGCATAGGGAAAGAAAGCTATCAACAAATGAAGAGTTTCTTCAAACCAAACACATCCCCTATGGATTTGTGTAACGATGTTGTGCCCTGTGTCGATAAGTCCATAGGTTTGTGATGTTAGTATTTTAGGTTTTCAAGATTCTTTTCGACAGCCATGACCCAGAAACAGTGACTATTGCCTCTATATTCTTTTCAGTTTTATTTGATTTAATCATCGTGTTCTTCAATACAAAGGAGTGAAACAGGGAATCATCGTGTTCTTCAATACAAAAGAGTGGAACAGGGTCAATGTTCCCGAGTGGCGCTTACCCCACTCTTCCTTGTCAGTTGAAGTAATGATGCCAGCGACACTTTAAGTGGTCTTTACAATGGTCAATACCTTGCAAGGAAATTACCCTGCACCAGCGTTCCAAACCTGCTCTACGTTACAGTTCCACGAATAGTAGCCGGCGTTGCAAGTAACTGGTCACATTATTTCAGCGGAATCATCGTAATCAAATTGGTTCTGCATATGCAGACGAAGCCAGCAAGATGACTGATATGATTGTTTCGACGCCACACGGTCATCGCCATTTAGTTGTAACAGGGAACAGGGGAGGGACAACGAGCGTCAAGGGGCGGAGGCATACGGCCATGGCGCTAAAAGGAGCCGTACCGCTGGCCGTATCGTCCATACCGCCTCCCGACACGACGAATGGCACCAACAGCGACGTCGGTTCTACTATTCATCGCCATTTACTCTATTTCTAGTGAGTACATTACGAACCTTTTATTTTTGAGTGACTGGAATTTATTTGTAAATTCGCGCTCATAGATATTATAAGATAACACATCGTCCTAACTAACTGAAACTTGCTCATCTTCCTGTCGCGTAATTCGGCTACGTGGAGGTATGGTGCCTATTTGAGGTTGTACAGGCCACCTTGTGAAGACCTGTGAATTCCTGTGACCGAAGTGGCTCACTTGAACATTTTCACAAGGGTTAGCAGGCCTAACCCGTGAGGCTTGTTAGCCAGCATGAACCAACACAAGGCACTAGCGAAAGTGCGTAATGCCCCTCCAAGCCGAACAGCACTCGAGAACCCTCCCCAATTCGTAGTCAAGATTCGCTGCTCCTATGTTTTTGGCAACTAATTCATTAGCTTCGTGCAACCTACTGGAAAAAGGATCTATGGCGTTGTAGCAACCTTCCACATGAGGGTTGAGTTCTGGGAAAAGTGAGCAGCATTACCTACTGTTCCGCCGTACTTGTTCCGTAAAGCAACAGTTTCACGAGTTCCAATGTCCTTTCACTGAACATGTGTCTCGATGAAGAGTCTGTAAATACGGATTTGTCCGCAACCCTTGCCATCACATTTCTTCCACTTCTTTCGAAAATTTTCATTAGGCTAGATGCTACGTGGAAGTTCTAATGCATTTCGAAGAGCTAAAGCGTTAGCCCAGAGTGGCTATATTCTTTGCGAGTTCCATAATGTAACTGTCTAATTGGATCTGCTGCTGAGTTAAAAAGGGTTTACTGGGCGCGGATAGGTTGTATTGACTTGCAGTGGACCACTACTGTGACACAACCTTCTGTCAATTTCCTCTATGAGGGTAGTACCTGTTGAGCCCTCAGCTTTTACAATTAGAAGCAAAGGAAAGGAAACATTGGGAAAGGAATACACTCCAGAGCACAGATGATCCGTTTCGCTCGGTATCGCAGACGAATCATCATTGTCAGCCAACACCTGGTTTTTGCTTCACTTTAAGTGAAATACTTCGAACTTAAAATAGAGAGTAATCCGTTGCAGACCGACAGCAATTTGTTTAGTCAGTATTTGCCTTTGGCAAACTTATGAAAAGAATAGTTCTTCTCCCGAATCTTTAATTACCTGAAATGAGAGGTAGTTGGTGGAACAACAAACTCAAAATCCGTATCCAAAATGCTGTAGGTTCCTCAGATCACTCTATTTATTCTGTTCTGAGTGGGTGAAAAAAAAATTGTGGGACTTCAACATAGTTACCAAGATGGAGATCCTTAGGGAATGTAAAGGTTATGCAAGTTTCAAAGCATGACTTTGAGAAACAGTGCCCTCCAAGGTTGTCTTGGGTAGTTTTTCGATCGTCTTGAAGGAGTTTGCAAAGCCGAACCTTTGATTCAGAATTTATCCTATCGTAATGAGCTTTTCTGTCATAATTATTCAGACTACCTGCACAATGTTTATGACAACAAATTTTCTTATATTGTATAGAGTTACCTATTTGCAGGCGCCGTCGCTGGTCCGTGCATATTTCGCGAAGGGTCGTATCAGGTGATCTACGGTATCCGAAACGGTGTAGTGCACTTTCGCGTGATTCTTCGTGGTGTTCCACCGTCGGCATCGGGATGGACTGGTATTGGATTCGGAAGAAATATGGTGAGTGAGACCTATGATATTTCAGGGTTTCTGCAATTATCATAGGAAACCGCTTTCGCATAACAATTTTATTTTCAAAGAGCTGGGTGAGAAATCCATACTTAGGCCACTGAGAATGCTCGCACAGAAACGGACAGTGCAATTCTGCACATCCTTGGCATCTTACGTGTTTGCCGAGAAGGAACAACGGTTAGAAAGCGCGCTAAGTGGTCCGCTCACTGAAAAGAAATGATAGGTGGTCCCTGGTATCATTTCCGTTGAACCGCAGCGAAAACCTTGAACGAGATCTTATGACGCCAGCCTTGGCAAACGATAGCGTTGAGCGTTGGAAGCTGTGATCGCAGTGCAGAAAAGTCATTACTATCAGCAATGACTAAATTTCTCAAAGGACCTGGCCCTGTTCCCGAGAAAGGTTTCACTTTACACGTGCAACACATTTAAGCTTCTCCTTGAGAAGAACATCTTTTATGGCGTTCACATCAATCATCGGGTTCAACATCGGTTCACGCTGATCAATTCGGGATGCCTGATGCCTAAGCTCGGAACTCCCTACGCGTGTTGTGAAGAGAAAGCTTGATCACTGGCATCAGTCAGGGTGGCTGCTTTCACTTTTCTAGGAGATTTATAGTCCATTCTTCATTAACGAGAATTTAGAATCCCATGAAACTTCTCAATTTCACTCTTTGGGTTCGTACTTCGGAATTTTTTTTCTGAATTACAAACTTGGGTTCAGGAGCGCGACACAAAGCAGCGCTAGGTGGCCCTGTTGAATGTACACTTCACAACTGGAGCGGTTGGACATCCCAAGACCATAGGGAAGCTATGATAAAAGTCTTCTGGGATCTGCTTCCTAATACCCGGCCTACTTCACAGATGCACTAGTAGTAGTCTCAGCTTTCAAAAGAAATGATGGAAGTGATGGAACCTGTTACCTTGCTACCTGCAGGTATTGTTCGCCATTGTAGCCTGGTCATAATGCACTCATTATAAAAATGAAAGTAGCGGCCGGAACGATAAGCCGTCTGAAGTTGTAGACGCAAGCCTATTTGCAACTGTATGGCGCTGTAGACAGGGTACAGCATAGTGATGTGTCAAACGGCCGTGACAGTACGACCCTTCCGAGAATTTCTGCACCACACCTGCCCCCAGCCCTCCCTTTCTTATCCTACTTACCGTCTTCCTAAATTCTTCCATAACCCATCTTCCTAGCAATTTCCCCAGTTTGAAAAAAGTTTCGGTTTTTCAAAAAACTGGCGTCAAGCGGGAGAGGGTGAAAGGTCGTCATCCATCATCTTATCACCCTCCTGACTGTATTCTTCCAACGATGGCGCACCCTGGCTGGAAAGAAATTCGCTTGTTTCACAAAAAAATATATTGCCCCCCTTAGCTATTCAATATTGCTGCTGCAGCGACTCATAAGCTACTCAAGTTAAATCAGCACAAACATATTAAACGTCCTGGGGTTATCTACGCATGTAAATATGAGTGGGTCCAAATACGTTCTACTGAAAAAGCTAATAATTGGCGCTACTGCAGTTGATATAGCCACGTAGCGACCCAAGTCTGGGCCATTTGTAGGAATCAGACGTCCAAGTTCATGTACACTCGTTCCGTAGCTCCCAATTTCGGAGAGCTGGGGCCAACATTCCTGGCAATTTTTTCGAAAAGACGAAGGTAGGTCGTGTATGATGCCCTGCAGGAAGCGCTGGACCCTTCGAAAGCTTTGCACAGGCACAAAGCGAGCCGATTTTCGGGTGATACTGTAGTAGTAGGGATGACGAGGCGACGAAACAAGGTGGTCAGTCCCTGTAACCATGCTCAGCCTTGAGAGAGCGCTATCTGCAGCGAGGGGGTTTTTTGCGTGGCGCAGAACACACCTTGTCATTTTCCCCGTCAACTATAGCAACAGTAGTAGCTGCAGTAATTCTATTTTCACATGCCTGAAATCCCTCTATAGTACTGCAAATTGTGAACGCTGTGAACATATTGAATCAAGCAGCTTAAAGAGTAGGCAGGAAGCCCGGAGAAATTCACTCGATAGTACTCATAGAGCTGTACTTCGTGTACTTCTGAGTGAGCTGACAAACCATACTCTCTTCCTCTTCTGCAGAATACCCTGACTCGCAGTCATAGTACTACTTGTCTCTCCTCATTAACTAGTGAGAACCCCTTTGGCAGGCAGGACAGTAGTGCGTTCATTCTCGGCAGGACCACCGTGAAGGGGATGCAAAATACCTGCTTTTCTCATGCGCAACTCCAGTTTGAGCGATAAGGTCCACTGTTTGACTTTCAATAGTGATGAAACATCAATAGACTGGTAACAAAGGGTGAAAACGAGTTTGGTGTCCTCTAAAGAAGTTTGTCGAACGAATGTGGTGGTACTCGAGTTCAAAGTTTTTGCTTACGACCAGTTTGATTTGATAAGATAGACAATTAACGGTCACACTGGAACCGCCGTCCAACTCACTCATAAAAATCGTTATAAAACAGTGTTTGAAGGACCCTTGATACGGTAGGGTAGGAAGAAAAGATAGCGAAACGATGAGAGATGGTAAATGATAGAGACCATGGCTCACGTCACAGTAGCGCGATGTCATTAATAATCTAATTGAAGAAAACCATTCGACCTTTAGGAGTATCACAACAGGATGGTTGGCATACACAAAGTTTCGTTTGTTAAACCTGTGATAAATGGGTCCTTGAGGCGCTACGCGGGGTAATTGATATGTTGCGATATGAAGCCTGATTGTTTTAGGGCCATCTTTCTGGTAGTGGAAACTAGGACTATGTCATAAAAAGAAAATTGAGTTACAAGACAGAAGCAGAAGCGTTATGCAGAAGTCATGATCCCAATCCGGACTCGAACTCACACCTCATGTTTATGTGACTAGTCTGCTTACTGGCATAGCTAGCGCGAGCGCCAAGAGGACTTATTGCCAAATCCAGTGCTAGATATTGGTTATTTCCCCACTATTGCACTTAACTGTTGCAGTCTTTGACCGCTCATAACTCGCTATGAGACACGAGTAGCAATTTTGGTTCCCATAGTTGTAGCCAGTCCTTCAGAGACTGTCAGAGCCCCGATCACCACCTCACGTTTCATTGGAACTGGGAGCTTTCTCTTGGTAACTAACCAAAATCCTATGAAAATTGCTAGTAGCACCAGCTCACGCCATGTGGGCACGACCGGTTTTAGTGCTCTTTTGTAGGGCTAATTTGACTCGTCGAGCATTACATAGCTTCGTAGCCTACTTTGACCTTCGAGCGATCCCGCCCACATTTGTTACTGGGATAAGGAAATTACCAGAAGATTTCGTCTCGCAGCTCCTCTCCTTCGATACTCCCACCCCATCCCAAATTTCTAATGCACTTCCCTGGGTGCAGTACCAATCGACTCAAATCCCATGTATAATCCGTCATGCAACACACGAAAAAATCATCCTTCCCCCATATTTACCCCCTCCCACCTCCGCTCAACCTCACATTCACATAATTGCGAAGACCAAACGATAACATAACCATGGCTATGAATTACCTTGCCCCATCTTACCACACACTGCTCTAAATTGCAGCACGCCACTGTCAGACTTTTAATCCAAGTTCGAGTTTTTGAGTGGTCTGAATGTGACACAGTTCCGTGACTGCTCTGTTAATGGTAGCAAATACATTATTACAATGTCGTACTTGCTGTTGAAAGAATGGAATTCGAGGGCATGACTGGTTTCTGACTAAAGCTGAACCAGTTTTAAGAATTTTAATATCTATTTGAAAAGGATTTAATAGCGCCACATGGCATCGCTTAGACGATCAAAGTGAAATCATAAAAAGTTGTACTCTCATCCATTCACAAAAAGGCTTTTCCAACTAGTTGTTTAGAAGACCTTGAGGCAAAAATGTAGTACTTCTGTTATTGTATTTCAGATCGAAGGTATTGACACTATCGTTGTTCGACTGGCCAATGGTCAAGTGAGGGTAACAGATGAGTACGTTCGTGGTTACACTGCGTCTGCTCCAGATATGGTAAGTATACTGTAACGGACTGATATTTCATAGCACTTAGCTGTTGCGCACCGTAGTCGAGATATGGAGATATTGGGTCTGGCAGCGAAGGTAAGCAAGCACATACAGTCTTGTCCGCTGGAGGTGCTGTGGCATATCAAAGAGAATGGATTCGAACCAGACCGTCTCTACCATGTGTTGAAGCGGGAAAGTGACAATAATTGGTGGTAAACTGTTTCGCGCCGCCCCACAACCAACCCCCTGACACGCCCCAGCATCTGCACCGAACAAAGCTGTACAAGGAGCGCCATTATTTCGAGGAAAAGCGGGGATCCAACATGACCTCCCCCTACCTTCCACCATCGCTTCCCCAAAAATACTCTTTGACTGGAGAATGTCCATACCACAGGCTAGTGGCGAGAGATTTCTATTCTTTGCCCCAAACATTGCTTCATATTAGTATACATCGAAACGACAATTTTTAGCGGAGCAGCAAGCCAGATACCATCACCACTTCAAACGCCTTGAATATGACCCTGGGTTGAGCTTTTCGCATGGATAGTGTTCCCTAAGCACACAATTGCAAGATCCTATAGTCTTGTTCACCGCGGATGCTTCAGCTTATAAGTGCTGAGGCTCGGCGCTGCTCCAGCCCTTTATCCACCAGCCGGGAAACTGGCAAGTGATTACTGGCAAAATGGGGTTTGCTTCTCGCCAAACTCAGGCTCCCCCCACATCCACAGCGATGAATACTGTACGACTATCATTACTGCTGTTCATCTCTCTTTGAGTAGAAGACTATGAAAAGTCCTTGGCGCTTGATTCTGCGGATCATTTTCAAGCAAATATATTGTCTTATCGCCGCGATGAGCACAGCAGCCACTAATGGCTAGCCGACTCAAGGGCGCCTTTTCATATGAGTCGCCCTTGCTCTCGTTTCGGCATAAACCTGAAATCGTAACATTGAACCAACACACGTGATCGTCTTTATAGAGTGATTTACAGTCACTGACGCTTTTTTTTTGCACCAAAAGTAGCGCAACTTAGCGCTTGAACCAGATCACTGATCGCTTGGCACGCTGCCTAAACACATTGAACATTGTAATTTTTGCCTTTACAAATAAGCAGCACGCCAACCGGTCGGTCGGGAACGAACATAAAAGTAGCCTAATCACGTGACCTTGGCGCGTCATTTTTCAGTACGCAAACGATATCATAAGCTATTAGGTGCAAGAACTCTCGCTGGGGCATCCCCACCATGGGGTCCTGTTTGACGCCGGCGTGGGCAGGGGACGCAGGCGCAGGGACATTCAACACCGAACAGAGCAATTCATCGCAATCAAAAAGGGATGCGGTCCCACGCGGAAGGAAAGAATTGCAAAGTTTGCAAAATAACGTAAAAGGGTGACCCATACAATCTCAATAAACCTGTGGAAAAGCTATGGGTCTCCCTAAAAACAGCCTTAGGGTAGAGTGCATGTCGCAATCAACGATAAGACAAATCGTCGCCGAGCAAACCATTTCCAACAATTGTTCGACGTTCTGCAGTCTCAGCTTGCTGGGTATGCGGCAGAACCGCAACTCGCCGCACCACTGGGCGTCGCGTGCGACGTCGCGCCTATTGATGATGAGGATTTCAGGTGGTATTGGTTGAGAGTAGGTAATGTATGACCAAAAATAGACATAGGTGTCTACCACGTCCTGTCTACGTGAAATCGAAAGGTAGTGCAACTTAGGGAACCTTACTTCCGCGCGCGGCGAAGGGGCGATTCACGGTTCTCTTGCACGCCTCCCTAGCTTGCTCATGGCTCGCTGTCCTATTATGATCAAGTTTGTGAACTTTTCCCAGAAATCGAAATGTATTAACAAGGTTCGTTCAGATCAACAACGTCATGGTACATAGCAGCCGAATAGAAGGCGATATGGTCTCGGTAACGTTCTCAAGGCCAGTGAACTCAGCCGAGTACCCTTATGACAGTTCACTTTTGGGATGTCAGCCTTGGCAGGTAAGGGGATCTCGCGGGTTACTAGGGCCCATGCTCTCTCAGAATGGAAATTAACAACTCTTAATTTCAGTTTGTGATCGGCTTGAATCGTATGGGACCAAATGGTGAAATGCGCCACCATAGATTTACGCCTATTCAGCGGACGGTCTGCATCGATGAGTGTAGAATCTAGATGAGAACTGTAAGGCCTAGAAGCTTGTGTAAATATCGTCTGATTTGTTGGGTAAGGCTCCACAGCAACATTGCGCTGAACTAAGACGGACGTGTCCTAGCGAAGTGAGCGCGTATGGAGCCAGATCATATCGGTTCTTAGCGTACTCCACATGTTCATTCTGTCGTGGCAACGGTTCATTACATATCATAGTGTTTTGTATTCGCCTTTTGTAAAGCTATGTCTCTAACTACTTTATATGTATATTACGTTAATGAGTTGTATGCTTTATTAGGCGAGGTTTCCAATCACACAATAAAAATCTTTCCACAATGTTCGTCGTTTTACACATAGGCGGTCTCCTTAAAGGAAAGCTCACCATACTGACTAGGACCTAATTACACCCGAACAATGCAGTTGAGAATTTTGATATTTCAAGTGGAAGCGCATCAGTTGAGAGACCGTTCAAGGTAGACATCGCGCTAGAAAAGCTAACCGAGACAAGGTCAATAACTGAAGTTGTTAATTCGTAAATCGTAGCCCTCGCACGCATATTTAAATCAAGCAAGTCTGAAGTACTTCTAGGGCTGTAGGATGGCTACACGATGAGCTTGGGAAGGAGGACGCAGTATTTCTACCATCCACCCACAACTGGGTCATGGTTAGGGAATGCTCTGTTGTTGGGAAATTTTCCGCAAAATACAACCCCCTCCCCCCAAGCTGCCTCCTCTGGACGACTACCTCTTCCTCTTCCCTTCTTACTCACCATCTTCCTAAATTTTCTCAAAATCGAAAAAATCACCGACCGAAAACATTGTTCCCAAAGGCGAATACGACTCCCCGCGGGGCTCCCTAACGTACAAAGTGTCCTGATCATGGTAACATGCTCAGAGCGTGGGGGAGGTACTGGGCCCGTGTGCAGTTCGGCTACGGTGGGAGGGGCATTTTACACTTTTGTCAATTTCCTCAGACGTGTCGACCCACCCAGGGAGCTATTCATGAGCATAAGAGTTGACAGGTTCTACCATGGTGGTTCAAGAGCTTGCTCCAGCTTCACAGCAGTTCAGAGGTTTCACCACAAGAATACGGAACGGGCCTAGTGAAGCACAGAATATGCAAAATGCCCCCTCCAAATTGTGCTATGATTGCGTTAACGGGATCGATGCATTTGATTTTGCGCCTGGCAAACTTACTGTAACAACAACCTCAACTTATAAACTTGTCTGACAGAGCTGTGAGTGCGGACGCAAGGCGCCCACCCCTAATGGAGGCCTGGGTCACAGAGCACCCTCCTGTAGCTGGTCTCTCAAGCGTCCGGACTCATCCCTGGAGTAATCTGCACTTTAAGCATCGAATACAAATAGTTAAATTACTACACATCAGTTTCGGCTCTGTTTCGTTTTACAGTACCACAGGTACTACCGAGATAGTAGGAATGTTCAACTCTTGTTAAAGTGAATACAAAGCTTCCGAACATCGAAGGCCGGCAGAAGATCATGCTTGTGGTAAGTAGTAAACCAGTAAGGATAGTGGGTATGAAAAAGGATAGTGGGTATGAAAAAGACTAGATAATAATGAGAATGGGTGTTTTACGAAGTACACATCAATTCTGCGATTGTCTAAAGCAGCTTTGAGCGGCGTTATGATACATACAGATCGGAAATCGGAACAGCGACAAATACAAGTCTCTCAATAATTGAAATATGAACAGTAATAATTACAAGTTGGGCTAATATTGTTAGACACGTACTCACAAATCCCAACTGAACAAGTGATGTTTGATCAACATATCGGTGACACCTTTCTTCAATGGTTCCTCACCATTCGGTTTCAATTCCCCGGCCATTACAGTGGACAGCATTTTCTTCTTAGCGCTTGACATCATCTAGAACCAGTATTGCGTCGAATTACTTGTAAGTGGTATTTCATATATACCCACGTATATGAACTGAACTTACCCCAGCGCCGGATTTCTTTTTCTTCTTCTCAATACCTTCGATCTCGAAGTCTACATTGAGATTGAATGAGAATTGGCTCAGAAGCCTCAAGTCGCACTTTATCTGGAAGGGTTATTCAGAATTATTTATGGATCACACCTTTTCCCCAACAAACCAGGCAGTGGGGAAGATAGATGAACTAGGGCGTTAGGCTAGATACGCATAATAGGAGATAACAGCGTGCCCTGCGCAGGCGCTCTGTGGAGCCTTTTTCGGAGAAGTTCGCTCTCGTAAGCGTCTCAATAAGCCTTAGGAGCATTAAAACATTGCTTGACGAGCGTCTACGCGCTTGCGCTACAATTACAACAGCGTTTCTGTCCTGTAAACGCGAACGCAGCTGCAGACGAGAGTCGACCAGCACCGCCCTGGCGGCCAGCGCCGATCAATACCAGACTGATCAGACAACGCGTGATGCAAACGGAACGGGTTACAGAGCGTGACAACGCGTCGGCTCGCGTCATGGCGAGGTCTGAACGCTGCCTTACTATGCCGACCGCCACTTCCGCCGGAACCGGCATGCCTGATCACTTCGGATCACTGTTGACACACAAGCTCCTACTAACTGGTTTTCCCGCTTTCCTTGTGAAAAGCCAGATTCTTGTTGGTAACGAAAATAAGTTTCGGGGCACGCAGGAACGTGGTTCTACAAGCGTCACCCGTTTTTGTTTTTTGGACATCTAGACTTTTTGACTTTCTGATTATTTTTTACTTATGTTAGTCCGCTTCCTAATTGTATCAGCGATGGTCCCCCCATGATCCTAATAATTAGCATCTGCAATTTAATATTTGGCCCCACCACCCACACTTGCAATTGCTGAATGCATTTTGACTCACAGGTACCGCAGTTGTGTCGATTTGTTCAAAATGGCCTGAAGGCTCACCACCTAATATTACGAAGGTGGTGAAACATGTTTCATAGCTCAGTAGAACAGCGGGAACTGGTCGGAGCGCTGCACAACACGAGCGACTAGACAAGCGTTTCCTATTCTCGCAGTAATTGACCAGTTCGAAAACTTCCGCTTGAAAACTAGTTAATGTGAACACACCTGTCGCCATCCCGGAGTACGTATGAAGGCCCACGGATGATAGTATTTACAACGTATCGCTTCTTGGTTTTCCGAAGAGCAAAATAATTCGAACCACAGATGTAAACATTGCTCGTTAACGCCGAGTACCAGTAGTGACCTTAACACGAATGCATTACAACGGTTCGTCGAACAGCAGCTTTGCAACTAACGGTTACCTTAGCTTCACGTCTGGATGAGCGTTGGCAGCATTATGAGAGTCGTTGATAAGTTGAACTGATCGGAACAATAGCTCTTCTGGGGTAAGTATCTGAAACCAAGTGAGGTTTTGCAGTGTTAAATTAACTGATATTCAACACCGTCTGCAAATACAGAACAGGTAGAATCGTTCCGCGTACTTTGAAGCCAGGTTTGCAGTCGCAAAGAGTGCGCCATTTAAGCCTTTTGAAAGTGGGATGTGAGGCCTTAATGGGTGACTCGGGTCTGCGTGTCCTTGGAGCGCCCACAACAATACGAGTTGCATTGCGCACCTAATTACCGCGCCGTTGCTTGCAGCATTGGCAGTGTAGACGGTTCCATGCGCTCTCTGAAAAATCCAACGAGGCCCACTATTGCTGACCGCGCTTGTACTCAAAAATCGTTCTTCTTTCCACGATATTTAGTGCTGGATAAAGGGAAGAAACAATCCTAGCAACGAAATGCCAAGAGACGGCAACCATATTGGTTTGCTGGCATAAAACGAGCGCACGGTAATTTCGTACTTGACCTAAAACGCTATCAGGCCCCCCATAGTGGAAAAATTGCGAAATAAAACGAAGTGAAGCGGTCAAAAACTTGCGAAGAAAGGCCCTTGTTCTTCATGACTCAGAGAGTAATTTCGGACGAGTTCCCCGTGGGCATCGTGCCAATAACCCCTACGGTAGATACGGCTGCATGTATGTACTCATATCTCCTGCAGCACCGCAGCATCTTCACATCACTCCCTTCGCTTCAACTTTCTCTCAAAAAATGAAGCAATACGAGCATCAGGTACCGTCGTCCATTTGTGGGCGGACGGGCGCGGTACCCTCCTTGGAAAAGGCGCTGCGCAGCGCCTGCTCGCGATCGCAGAATTTCGTCCTGCTAGGCGTATTGATCCTACTCGTCATGAGGATTTATCGTGCCAATTGCCTTCAAGGAAGTCTTCGACCTTTTTCGCTTGTTTTTACTTAACTGTTGAGGTAATTAACGAATACACTTCGCCTTTTGAAAGCCCCTCACTACATACAACCGCAGATAGGCTCCCTGAGTAGATCTCTTTCAGTCAATGATGGTCAGCAGAAACTCCATTGTTACCAGTTATATGTGTACAGTTTCACAAACCTTGCCATCCTGATCCAGTTTGAATGTGTTACATAGCGTTTAAGAGTATTAAGCGATATCCTCTGTTAACAAATAGGGTTTACAAAAACAAAGTTCCGACGTAAACAATTCTTTCGGGGATGCTCCACACACTCATAGAGGCTGAGAGGGGAGGGTTGCGCTGTTGATAGGCAGTGTTTCCACCCTACAGGCATATCAGGTACCAATAAGCCACGAAAGAAAAAAGATTCGGTCAGCCAGCGGAGAAGTCGATCTCAGATTCCCCTAGACGCTGCGCGTGACAAGCTGCGCCGTTTGCCACTACACCCACCCCGTTCTACAATAAAGTAGAAGAGAACTAGCAGGGAAAGAAAGTATTTATGTGATCAAAAAGTAAAAACGTTACCAACCAATGAAAGACCAGGGGTGATAGGCTGTCGAGGGATAGAGGACACTTTCCATAATTCCATGGTCCATCACCTGTCGAAAGCTGTTGGCCAGTCGTCCTTCAAAACTTCTTATTAATTTTAGGAGCACCAAAATCTAGGAAACAAAAGTGCAAGGCAAAAAAGTGAGAAGCAAAAAATATAAAATTACCTCGAATGTATTCGGTAATTTCAGGTGATACTGCCTCATCGCCGTAAACAGTATAGTTTTTACCTCGCTCATCAACAACCTAGAAAATGAATTCTTAAACATTAAATTCACAGTTCCGAGGGCACATCGGTCAAAAGGATGGGGAAAAGGCAGGCGATTCTCCTTTTCTCATATTTCTCCTTCTAGTCATAATAGTACGAAAGGCGGACCAATGAAATGGGCACGATGGTTCACCTGACTCCGCCTCAACGATCAGCATGGAATGTGCCTTAAAGGCAAACCTTAGCATGCTACTAGTGTAGGAAGAACCTGAAGAAATGCCACAGATTCTTGATTTAGAAGGTGCCCTTTCAAAACAATATCTATCACATAGCGCACCCCGCTCTCAAGGGATTTTCAGTATGACTCCCATAGATCATCCATTGCGCTTATGTCGAGAAAATCTTAAGAAAGTACTGAAATAATTCACCTCGACGAATTTTGCTGGGAACCATCCCCGAAGCCCGTTCACTTCGCCGACCCAGCAATGTTCGTCTTTCTCGCATATTATTGTGATGAGATCGTTTTTCCTAAAGAATTATCCAGTCAAAGGAACAGTTGTAAAAATTACTGAGGCAGCCTAACATGAAAGAAAAATGAAGTAGCAAATAAGCGAGTCAAAGTAGGAACAGTAGAAGGAACAGTCGTCTAAACCTGATAAGCATTGTAGGGAACTTTTTAGACCAGGCGGTTAAGCAAAGCGCCGCGGCTGCTTGTACAACGTCCAGTCGATGAAAGTCTTTAATATAGAAGGAAGTTCCCTGTGAGCTTCGCTTCCAAATAAGTCAACCGTGGCGGTTATAAGGGACCACGGCGCTAGCGTCACTCGATTCCATTCAGCAGCACCTACGCCTTACTTGTAACCACAGCATGCCGAATACACCCCCCCCCCCACATCTCCTCCCCATGTCTACGTTAGCGCTACAACATATTGTTCTCTTCTAATGAATAGGAAAACAAATTTCAAGGTAATGCAATACGCTTACCGAAAGCCTAACTCATCCTCATCTTGACGGGCGAAGTCGAGCAACGCTCGCGCTCGTTTATGACCTTCCCGTCGCCCGTTAAAAAAGTTGTCAATGTCGTGCTCATGTGATTCCGGGCTATAGTCGGCCTAAACGGTAAAATCAAGAGTGATGCAGGCGTATGCATTGCTATAAAGTAGTGAGCCGTTCAGCTACGGGTTGCTAGGCGGTCACGTCTTCCGGTGGTACGGATCACCATTGAAGCTCGCCGCAACTATACGGCGCAGCTTACTAATCAGTATTTTCTCACGTATTTCTACTTAACAATGTTAGGTAAACCAGCCTACTTGTTCGCCGCGTTATAAAACATCAAAGAAAAGCTAATAAATAACAACGCTGAGGGCTCGGCCTGTAAGCCCTGCACGTCACCTCAACCCCAATGGTTTGTCGGTCGCAGGCCAAGCGTGTGGAACACTGAGCTGGGAAGGGTGGTATCAGCATTCCGAGTGTTAGCAGCGTGTCAGCTGTCGGCCGACGCAGCGGCTTTCGGATCGCGCGGTTTCAACGCGGGAGTCGATGCAGGGCGCGAACAGGTTGCGCGATCGAGTGCGTCGAACCCGCACCCATCAAAGCCTAGCGCGTCGCGTACAGTTCCTGAACTCGCTGCCTTAGGGCAAGTCAACACCAAGCCTGTAGAGGCTCGGTCCGCGCCATTATACCAATAACCACATGAGCCACAAACCTTGTCGTGGCATACTGTTTCCATCTCCATCTTTCCCTCCATCACACGCTTCGATGAAATAGCGACAGGTCTTGCCCTAGCAGCTGCCGGAAGGGCGCTCTTTCAACATCCTACCAAGAATTTCCGTCGTTGCGGACCAGCACTTTCTTTCATTTCTGGTAGGTCGTGTTTCGCGCCTGGAAAATGTAGCGATGGCCGGATAATAACCCATCGCGATTCAGCGCAAGAAATCAAAAAGTCAAGATAATTGTCAAGGGAACGACAGTATTATGGTGAAATTGGTCGCCGGGAAAAAAAAATTTTAGGACGAATAAAAACGTGGGATACAAGACCATAACAACAGTCTGACTAGTGTAATAAGCAAGCCGATGAAAAGACAAAAGTCCAAAATGCGCAGTTTCTGCACCCAGAATTCTTTGTTTTTGACACTCAATGTCCTCGCCCTGGTTCGGCATGTTGAGAATATATATATGCCCTCAGGTGCGTTACCTCCTCCAAATCCATTGCACCACTCTGTTCTCAGTGATACTGTACGTCCTCTTTATATGAAATATGACTGACAGTGCGCGAGTGATTTTCATCCCGATTTGACTATTAGTCCGCTGGTCAAAACGATGGCACGGCCATGGTCGAATCTCTTTGTGGCGCTTAAAAGCAGGTCAAGAAGTGGACCTCGAGACGTCGGGCCGTACTTATTGCCGTCACTCCGATTGCTGGGCATCCTCATAGTTGTCGAGTTCTTTTTCACACTTCCCAATGCGTTCGCCAGCACCATCTGCGAGCAGTGGATTTGGCCCAAATCGAAAGGTATACGCCGTCTTCTGGCTATCGTTCCCTCTTCTCGGAAACTCGCTCTCTGGGGAGTGGGCACAGTCGCGCAAGAATCACCGCAGGAATCCTCGTCAAGACTTGGCTTATTAGGTCGGATCTCAATAATGGGCTCTCCACCTGGCAAGCGCTTTGAAAAATTTCCCAGAACGACATTTGCTTGAGCCATTGCGGGGAGCACGAGTGCTTCTCTCCTACCGGCTAATTGCGGCCCCCACCACGCCTGGTCTAACTTTTGTGAGAAATTTTTGTCTCTCCTCCGATTCTTCGCTCTGGATTGCCCCATTTATGAGCCGAAGAAAAATCTCCTAGTGGTCTTTTCACATGCTGAAAAAATCTTGAAAAAAAGACTAGTTCCCGCACGGTCTGGAATTCTTCAAAAAGCAATTTGTAAAACGGTATGTTTAGTACCATCAGATTTTCTGCCCGAGCGCAAGAAATTCTCTACAGGACGTCTGGCTTAGTCGAGAGAGCAAGGGCAGAATGTCTGTGAGTTTGGATCAATCTCTCTAGTCGAGTGTGTGTGTACAAGATATGCTAGGGGGTCGTGCCCATTACAAACAGTCCTCAAGACACCTTCCGGACCAACCTTAATACCAACTGTCCCTCGGGGTTTCCCTCGTGCAGCCACGTTTGCTGACGAATTTTTCTTCTTCTATCTCACGTGCGTTTAACTGGGCTTGGCAGTCAGGTGTTATTCTAGTTTGCAAGATAGGCTTCGCCCACCTGACGAAGAAATGAAACCCGATGTCGCTCGGAACACACCGGACCTCGGATCTGTTCTCAAGTCACTGTCTATTAGTTCTTCGCAGACCGAATGCGGCACACATTTGCCGTTCTTCGAGCTCGGGTCGTAGACAGCGCTTCTCTTCCCGCTGTTTTGGGCCGTGGCGAGTCCTCATTGACCCCTCGGTGGAATTCGAATCTCCGCGACCGCTTGTGCTCGGACTCATCTCCCCTACGTTCTCTCTTGACGGAGACTTTCCCACGGCACAAATGAGAACCGAATTCCCCTCTGTCTCGACATAGCGTTGGCATTCCTTGTGTGCATGCAGTACCACTGTATCTGGCGGTGCCCGTGGCAATCGTATTTCTGCAAGTTAAAGTTCCCCCCTTCTTCGAAGTTTTCGAAAGGTTTTTGTCCAGTGACGGGCAGCTCGTCTTCCATCATGACAATCAGCTCGGGGTCGTGCACGGCGCGGCCACCTCTGTCACTACACCATCCCCACTTCTTTTTGTTTTATCTGTGTTGTCACTGCGTGCACGCTAAGAGGCGTCGATACCCCATTCACTTAGCCTGGGGCCGCCGCTCACAACTAGAAAATGGAGTGCAAGAGGAGATCGTGTGGAATAGGCCGTGTGAGGCCATCCGACACCGATCCGAAAAGACATTTCCAGACCACGTGCCCTCCTACATACTAAATTCCACCATCTTGCTTCATTGGCGCTCTCGCTTGGCGAAATTTCTTGACTGAAAAATCCAAATAATAGACTTGCTGCCCTGGAAGGAACCTTCTGGTGCTCAGACCAGCCTGTCGTCAGTTCAGTCGACTCCCGCTTCCCGAGGAACGCTTCATCCGATTACACTGCCACTAAGCCGGCTCCCACGGTACCCACGCCCGTTCCGCGCTCTGAAAATTCTTTTCTGCAGCTGAACAGCGCTGCGATGTGCAACATATCAGTGATAACGACTGTCATTTGTCGTCGGTTCCTGTGCTCTAGCCCACCAGGTTGATCCGCCCCCGCCTATTCAGACTCTGGGACAGTATTCTTCAGCGCACCCTGGTGCAGCTCTGTGATCTTAGCGCTTTGCCGCTTTGGGATCAAGCTCCAGTTCGGTGCGCTTACGTCCACCGTGCGGATGCTTAGTAAACAACTGAACGAATTGCACAGGGGCAGAGTCACTGATGTATGCTCTTAACGGCAAAACGTCATTGGTGCGTGCTTATAAGCCATATAAACGCAAATTCGATAGCCTCGCGTGTTTAATACTTGCCGGTGCGTCATTTCATGGCATGGGACATTCTTGGGGCACAGACAAGAAGCACACTGCACTCTCATCTCGCAACAGTACTAGTGCTTTCCCCCCCTCGTCTATACCACTGACTGTTGTTCCCCGTTGCCACTCTCTTCCTATACTAACGCTTGATCAGGTATCGCTATAGAGTGCGTGAGTGACGACGAAAGTCGAGGTCGTGCACCCTAGTCGGACACGCCCGTTTTTGATTGAGCGCCGACACAGGCAAGTCACCACTCATTTCTCAGAACGCTCGCCAACATTAACATCACTCGAGACTTATACTTACTAGGACACGCGAGGTCAACAAAGCCATAATTTTCATTTGGTTCCTTGCGAAAGGAAATCGTGTAGACAGCCGCTTGCGCGCGTGATGTGAGATGGCCTGTCTAACCGACTCCATATTGTCTCTAGCATACTCAGAGCATAAAATATGATATCATAGTCAAGATATCTCTCTCTCAACGCTAAACACTCAATATTTTCGCATGTGTCTCGGGAAACGACTACCCTTTCAATAGTGGCAACTAGCTCTAAAATTATTTTCACTGGATTAATATTACCTATGTAAGTAATCCAATAGCTTATATTGCCTAGTTAGCATACGTTTCTGTAAAAGAGTTGTAGACGTGTCTTGTGCAGACTTGGGCTTTAACTCTCGCCAGTTGCTTTTGGAACTTTTGCTTCGTGTAGATTGGAATGTCCCGTTTGTTGTCGTGTCAACATATCATTGCCTTGATCAGCCATCAAAATTGCCTGTAAATACCCCAGTGATCAAAATGGCCATTCACTGAACTATGTATTAGGCTGATCAAAAAGTTTTGATAGGGTTTTTTGAAAAATCCGAACTTTCGAATTCTCTCGATGACAGAGTACCCGCTGACTCTCGGATCCGATCTGGAATAACTTCCAGTATGCCCCACAAGATATTTTCTCCGAATATTCGCTCTATTGTCGCAGCCGCGCATCAATTGTCCTTGTCAAAGGAACTCTCTCCTCACATGAAACCGTGATCTAACTCGTAGACTTGATTATGGTATGTTTAATGTATTATTTGGCGGGGACAGCTGTTCGCTGTCCATCACTTTGCGCAATAACTAAATCTTACGAGTGCGTGGAAACAGTTCTTACCTCCGTCGTGCTCCAAAATTACCGACTGTGTACTACCGTTTTCTAATACCAATAAAGCTCACGCCATCCACACTCCCCTTATCACGAGAGTCCTCGTTAACCAGCAGAACTGTGACGATGGCAGCCGCGCCGGCGAACCGCATGTGCGGTCAACTCCATATTCCGATGACAGCTGGTCTATGCGTGTAGGCGGAACACACTTCACTCACTTTCATAACAATGCCATGCGCTTTCGACGTACTTCTTTGCTATAACGTGCTTAGGCGCGTATCAGGGAGACATCCGCCCTCTGCAGACGGTACAGACCGTGACCAGGTCAGCGGCGGGACATCCGCCCACGCCTGACGTTTCGACGAATCTCCTCGCTCATTGTCTCGATGCATGTCATCGGAGGCCATGCTCGCGAAGTAGTCAGGATACATGCTTCGACCAAGCGTCCTTGTGCGTTTCGCTTTTTAGTCTGCCTCAGGTGAGCCTGCCTATAGTGTGCATTCCTCACTTGATTGGGTGCGCCCGCGAAATCCATATGGGATCTTGGCAGAAACGGAGGCGCCTCAAGGGGGGCAGATCGTTTTTTCACTCCTTAAATCCGAACTCCAAACGGCCCGAGCAGATAAACTCGTCCGTCGAGCGCGGCGCGATTGACCCTCCGCACCAGACACCCGCAGATGGCATATTACATATTTGTTCGTCACATAATCGGCTATGGTTTGCACCTGAGCTTACAAATTTCGTCATCTATGGCTGCCACAAAAACCGCCATGGCCTTCTTTGAGATAAGCAGTCTGGGAGATGTTCCAAGTACAGTGCCAGTTCGATTCCGGTCTTACACTTTCGGACCCCCACCTCGAATATCAGTTCAGCGCTCAGTCCTAACAAAACTCTATGGATACAAAGTACAGCAATCTTGACTGTAAGGAGAGGCGAACATATAGGAACCGCCCTCGGATTTTCCCAGCCATTCCTCACCAGTTCTACTCGAATCTGCAAAGATTTTCCAGACCCTATTTTATCAGACTTTTTCCTTTTTGTTCTTTTCGCTCTTTTTCGCGACGCAGGTCGGCGCGACGTGGAGGCGGGCCCGGGGTGTTGAGGGGAGGCATTTCCATTTTTTTGCTGCTTCACTAGTTCTGTTTTACAAGTCTCACTCTGCCCTGCGAACTCTGTTGAAGCTGGAGCACGCTTGTGTGGTAAAAAGTTGTGAACTTCTTGTGTTAGGGCCTACAAAATAGCTTGCTAGCATGGGGTCCGAAATTGTGCCCAATTAACATGCAAGATCGATGTCGAGTAGTAGCGCCGCGCGTTCAGGGCATGTTGCGGTCTAATGTCCCTTAGCAGACCCCCAGTCGACCTCGATGGATACCTGCACGGTCCCCCCCCCGTCCTTTTCGCTCTCCTTGATTGTTCCGTCATTGACTTCGCGTTACCAGCCCCCGGGGCTTGATCCCCGTGCTATCTTGTGCTCTCACAGAAATCTCCTGTCTGCCTAATTGTCTCCGCGCACCATCACTCAGCTCGATTACTGTCTGACGTTTTTGTAGTGCCATCACTTCAGGAGTGGTATATTTGATGAAGGCGACACTAATAAGGCTAACTGTTCCGTAGATGAAGCGACTGCCGTGCTCACGCTTTGACGATGTTACAGTGACGCAGCCTCCTCTCGGCTCATAGTTGCAAATCGACCCTCTACTCCCCATCCCAGAAGTATAAGCTAATGACTGCTCCTTCCGTCTTTGCTTGACTCTCGGAGTTCAAACGTGGTCTTCAGGGCTAACTCTGAGCCTCAGTATACTTACTCAGCTGCGCGAACAATCACCATCCGTGCTCAGATGCAACGGGCTCCAGCACCTGTCCACCGCCTCCCTATCTACCACTGGTTACGGTCAAGCTGGATTTCGTCCAGAGCAACACCTTTGCTCGTGAGGCCCGCTGTGTTTCGTTGAGCAGCAAGCAACGTGCTGACCGTACGATGACGAGATCTTCTTCTTTTAGTCACTCCTAGTCGTTATCACCCGCGCCTCCTCGCAGTGCAGCAACGCTTACTGTCTAGGTAGCTCTCACCATATCAGTGTTCGAAGAACAGTAGTCTCTCTCTCAATAGAACTCTGTGCGATGGGACGAGACGCCTTCACTGGCTGGGATCGCGCGTCGCTTTATTACTCTCTACTGGAGTGCCAATCCCGTGAAATTGCACATAGACGCTCTAAAAGGCATATGCCTGGCCTCATGTATCTCACGAGCCCATCTCGACTGCGCTACAGCATGCCCTTTAGCGTTTCTCCCCCGTCGTGCTGCTAAGGCGCCAGTCCAGCGTATCCTTCTTCTAGCTCGAGACAAATACACATTTTTAATTCTACGAGACATCATCTGCGCACTTTCGAAGAAGTGGTTGTGTGCATACTACCTTCATGACGTCTCTTCAGATAGGTGCTCAATCTACCGTTCTGGAGATAACCTGCAGAATCTCAGCTGATCAATCCTCGACCTGCCCCTCTTTGCGTGCTGTCGCTCTTGCGGACAATTTTATGACTAACGATGGGTGTAGTTGATATTGGCTCCTCTGAGTTCTCATACACTGTGTTGGGTTCGAGGTGCAGTAGTAACATGAAAACAGATAAGAATCAATCTCACACCTCTTATCGAAAACTTATTGATCAAGCCTAATTTATGCTAACTGAAGCACAGAACCTGACACTGACTGCACTAGTAATCACTACATTCTAACAAACCAATATGCGATGCATCAGAAAAGGTAACGCCTGAAGCGTATGATGACAAATGTAAGAGAATTTGTCTTATAATGCCGCATTCTCGACGTTCAAAGCCTGATTAATTCACGAGGTACCCCATTCCACTTGGTATAGACCTCGCCTGTTTTTTTTTCGTAAGCTTTCATTGCCATGCAGCATTGTTTCACGCGGTTGACTTCGACGGTTCGCGTGGTGGATCATCTTCGAACAAGCCATTTGACTGATTTGTTATACCTCGAGACGTCAATGACCGTACTCTGATGGGTGTTGTGCTCTCACTTCAACAGAGTCACTGTGAACCGAGTGAAACGGCTCAGCGGTAAAAAACTGGTCCGGGATAGTCAAACAAGGGACCTGGTAGCTGGTTCGTGACGCCCAACTGCAAGGCCTGGCAGGATCAGGCGCCAGCCAGTTTATTTCCGGTCCTACTATTTAATGTCTATGTGTCTCGTGTTTTTTCTGGTTACTCTAGCAATTCGAATTTACATAATAAACTCGTAGCCCACAGTTAGTAGCTGTTGGTCCCCGACCTACAGCACAATACTACTTCCTTGAGCACGACCGCAGTTATGGACCATCGGAGGCTTGAACCAAGTTCGCGAGATTCTTTCCGCTTCATTGTCCTCGACTATGTTCAGTCCAATCAGAATAGCATTTGTTTGCGTGCAGGATAGGTGGAGGGGAAGCAAGAACCATGAGTAGACAACGTTTTGATATTCAATTATGCTGGTGATCTTCATTTTCGGGCTCAGATACTAACTCAAACCTTAACGGGGAGCTTGCAGTATTTGAAGCAACGACAAATCTCGGTTAGGCCAAAAAATCGGCGCCGCTTGATGCCGGCAAAATGCCGTCATA